TATCAGCTTTGTCACCCATGTAGGCAATGCATTTATCAGTTTCTAGTAGTTGTATAACAATTGAAGCATGACCATAGGATGCAGCGTAGTGAAGTGGAGTCCATCCTTTTTCGTCTGTCACTATCGCCAAATCCGTTTTCTTGTTTAGTATTCCTCTAGTCATTTCTAAAAAGTATATATAAAAAGAATAATTAATCAATGCAAAACTAAAAACAGTGTATAATAATAATCTTATAAATATATACGTATACCCATGCTAGTTTGCTGGGAAAATAAACGAAAAAGGAGAAAGAATTAATTATGTAAGTTTATTATATTTATATATACCTACCTTCATCACCGTAAATCACTGCAGCATGCAAAGCGGTTCTACCATTGGGGCCTTGGTAAGTTGGATGCTTGCAAGTGCAAAGTATTTCGTAGAACAAAGCTTTGTATTTCCTCTCGGCAGCCAAGTAAAGTGGAGTCTTCCCAGCAACATTTGGATGGTAGGAAAAGTCAGGGTCTTCTCTGATCAATATCTCCACCACACCAAGATGCTTAAACCGCACTGCCTCGTGCAAGGCTGTGTCCTTCTCCTTATTAGGTGTCCTTATGAAAATTTTCCAGCAGGCTGCTTCTTCTTCTGATGATGATGATGAGGCGAAGGCGGCAGCCCCATGCTCGAGGTCTTCACAACGACGAGCTTTTGCAGTTTCGATGAGAAGTTCAACTATTTCAGCAAGCCCATGTTTGGCCGCCATGTGCAAGGCAGTCTCACCGCTCTCGTTCTGCTGCCATAGCAGTGTCGGACAGATCTGAAGGATATCCTCCACAAAGCTGGTTGGCTTGATCGGCGCTTCTTCTTTAGATTTGACGAGCTTTGGGGTGCTTGCATAAGCGATATAAACATGGAGGACTGTGTTACGGGTTGGAGTCAATATTTGGTTAAGATGCTGCGGATCGTGTCCCCTGAGGACATCAATTTTGCCTTGTTTTGCAGCGTTGAAAACATCTAGATCCATGCCTGTTGACGCGGAAAAATGATTTGGTAACTTTCCCGCTCAACTTAGTGATGTTGTGCTTTCGGTATGCTTTGGGCCTCGGTAGAGCGCGCGATCTGCAAGACAACGAACGCTCGGTAAGACCTAGGGCACCGGTGTGGTACCGGCCGAAAGCTCTCCGATGCTTAAGTAAGTACGGATTTAGCAAACTTGAAGAATGAAGATTTGTCTAGAAGATAAACAAGTCGGTGGAATGGAGAGCAAAGTCGGCCAGGAACAACTATTAATGGGGCCATGCATTGTATAATCAAGTAATCAAGAAGTGAAGTGTGAGTGTGAGTAAGTAGAGAGTGAGCAATAAGCTACTGTGATGTCTTGTCTGTGTTTGCCACCTCATGAAAAACTTATTCTTTAAGATACTGTGAAATAGTCTGTGTTTGCCACTCAATACCCAGCTTTCTTTGAGGGATGGGTGTGTTCCCGTTATCGTTCATGTTGAACAAACTTGGATATATATATATATATATATATATATGAATGAAGATTTGTCTAGAAGATAAACAAGTCGGTGGAATGGAGAGCAAAGTCGGCTAGGAACAACTATAAATGGGGCCATGCATTGTATAATCAAGTAATCAAGAAGTGAAGTGTGAGTGTGAGTAAGTAGAGAGTGAGCAATAAGCTACTGTGATGTCTTGAAGTCGGCCAGGAACAACTATTAATGGGGCCATGCATTGTATAATCAAGTAATCAAGAAGTGAAGTGTGAGTTTGAGTAAGTAGAGAGTGAGCAATAAGCTACTGTGATGTCTTGTCTGTGTTTGCCACCTCATGAAAAACTTATTCTTTAAGATACTGTGAAATAGTCTGTGTTTGCCACTCAATACCCAGCTTTCTTTGAGGGATGGGTGTGTTCCCCTTATCGTTCATGTTGAACAAACTTGGTTATATATATACAGTCCCCTTCTATTGAGGGATCTCTCAAATAATTTTATTTGAGGGACGCTTTTCAGGGTACCCTACAATTTTTTTTCTAGTGATCCAAACCATCTATTTTTTAGGTCTTCATTTATAGATCATCCTTACAAAAAATTAGACAAATCGGACATTGTTTCGACATTCAATTGTGTCTTACAAAATCAATGAACACGGTGCTTCAAGAAAGTACTAAAATTTCAATAACTCAATTAAGTGGTCAAATGATATCGGATTCAAGTGATTTTTTGTAGAGATGATCTTTGAATGAGTATCTACAAAATAGATGGTCTGGATTAGTGAAATATAATCCATAGTGGCCCTACAAGGGGTGTCCCTCAAATAAGCTTATTTGAGGGATCCCTCAATGGAAGCTCTCTGTATATATATATTGTTTTTAAAAACATAAAAGGTAATGATATGTTTATTTAAGGATTAGTAAACTAGTAATCTTTTTCGATGTCAAAATTTACCACTGACAAATGGTGAGGCTCCGATATATATATATTTTTTTGGAGTAAAATAATTTGCAGAGAACACTTAAAATCTAACATTAAAAAAGATTTAAAATTAACATATTTTGGACGAAGTATGTGATGTTGTGATCTGTGAGTCTGTCGAACTCATTACCTGAGATATCAGATTTAAGTAGTCGAGAGCAGGACCAGGCATTAAAGCGGTGGCAAATACTGCAATATAAATCTTCTCAGGGAATTTCTCCATGGCAATGGATAGGGCGGCCCCACCCAGGCTGTGGCCCACAAGGATGACCCTCTCCTTTGGCGGGAGAGACTTCATGAATCTCATCAAGTTAATATAGAAAACAGAGGCTGAAAAAGGTTTCGTATTGTATTGATATTGTTTGTATTGGTGTGCATAGTTACATAGGCCTGGAGAGAACTTGACATGGAAACTAATAATGTAGAATGCACAAAAATAGCAGTACATATATGCAAATAATAATTTCAGATTTGGTAAGTAACAAACCAATTCTAATGTACAAACTCATACGACAATATCCAGCTTGTATAGTACACCTCAACGCACAAATTTATAACGACTTTTAAACTCTCGTAACTATAGACTAAAAACTTGCACCCAACTCAAAAAGAGTTGGTACACACAAAAGGAAATGCATAAGTTGCTCTCCCACCTTGTCGTCACCAAGCAGAAAACCAAAAGAAGGAACTCCAAATCTGCAAAATGAAGACACGCAAAGCAAACAAAAGCAGCCACATAAATCCAGGAAAAACTACCAAGCAATACAAGCCATCCAAAAGCTAATAAACGCCCAAGGGAGAGGGGAGAGGCGTGGACCAAGGTTGGAAGGGAAGGGAGGCCACCGACTAGTCTCAATCGATGTGAGTCTACTTTTTAAACATTATCACAACTGAGCGGGTAAGTTTATATAGGAATATGGAATTGTTCTCCCTCTGAACAACAAGAAATTGAACATAACTTAACAAAAAGAAGGTTTAGCCGACAACAATTAAACCCGATCTGGCAAGTTGCGGAGAATCACCTAAGACTGCATATGTGCCTGAAGTGAATGCAATCATCATTGCAACTAAAGACGCTGTAGTGGTATATATAATAGGACGCCAAAACCTTTTGGACTTCTCTTTTCCCTCATGGAGTGTCAATATCAAAAGGTGCATAAGGACAGAAAAAGTGGACAAACACAAGGCTAGCATATTGAATAAATAAAAAAATTGGAAAGCTGTATCGTTTGTTAGAACTGCATAACCCGGAGTTGGTCCATTACTCGGGGCCGTAACATTTTGCTTTGGTACGTTACTCGTGGTATTTCCCTGATCTGATGCTTGGTAATATCCACCAGGCATGGTGACATCTGCTGCGAATGTAACAGTTGCTACGAGTGTAGCCACTATTAGATGGGAATCTCTTACATTTTCATTCATTTCAGTGTCTTCACCACATTTGTTTTCCTTTAATTTCTGGCCATCATTATCATTTTCGCTTAGAATTCGATGGCCTGATGATGCACCATTCCTTTTCAAATCATTCGCGATAAATATCTGCAACACAGACCAAAGAGTATAGTAGTGCAATTTTTCAGTTGAGTCTCCGACACAAGTCATCACCAAACTAAATAATAATTGAGGGCCATGCGAGGGATTATTAATTTAACCTAACCATAACTAGTACTTAAATGAAAAAGTCTACGTGATGATACTTAATTGAAAAAGGAATAGCCAAACCTACGAAGACTAAATTGGTTATTTTTCCAAAATCAAATATAAAAAAAATTTGCTCGAGCATTCAAACCCTGTCAGTCTAGATTACTGCTCATCATTCTGTTATGTACTGTCACACACAAGCAAGTTTAATGAAATATCATACCATATCTTTTAAATCATCATTAGCTTTAATGACGTCGAGAGCGTTCATGTTTTCCTTATTGAATGCCATCTTATCAACCCTAGCATCATCAATGAAAGGAATCCAGGGGTTGAGAGGAGCATTAAGTAGATGGAGGGGTGTGTTGCCGTCAACATCCTTGGCATTTAAAAGGATGTTGCTAAGCATGTATCCTTTTGAACAAATTCTATAATTCGAGGTTTATGCTTCGCAACAATCAAGACAATAAGAATTAAGTTGTTTCATTACATTAACATGGCCCTTGGAGGCTGCAA